GCAGTGCAGTACTGTTGTTCCCCAAGGGGCCGAAACACACCCAACCGAGTGGTGTGCGCCGGGCAATCAGTCCGTTCTCTGAGTGGCCGCTGCGCTCCTCCAGTGACGTGTGCAGCTCTGCTGCATTCAGACCGATCAGAATGCCCACTGTGGGAGACGGCAACGGCTGGAATTCGATGTTTCCTGCCAACGTGTCGCTGTTCTGGGCCCAGTCCACCGTACTCATTGGCGTTACAGCTGGCAGCACCCACGCACTAAATTGGGCCAGTCTGCCGTCTTGAGTCTGGACACCGACATTGATGTGTGGTCGGGTACCACTAACTGTCTTCCCTCCGAGTACTGTGGTCTGCAATGACTCTTGAGGACCCGTAAGTCCAAGCTCCTGGGCCACAGACTCGGTGACGTAACTCGTTGATGATGCTGAGTCGAGCAGGGCGGTCACCTGTATCTGGCGGTCCTTGTTGACTAGTGTGGCAGACACGGTCATGAACGCCATTCCACCGGACGCGCGTAGAGGCGCAGCTGGCTCTTGCAGGATGTGCAGTGCCGCACCTGCTGACGGCACGCTGGCTGTTGGCGTTGCTGTGCGCTGCCTGGCTGCCTGTGTCGAACTGCTGACCGCTGTGTGTCTGTCTTTGGCGTCAGTAGTAGAGATATTAATGTGTGGCTTGGCCGATTTCCAAACATGTAACAAACTGTTATGTTTTCGTCCACACGCATCACATGGCTTAGCAGAGCAGTCATTTGAACGATGCCCTGTCTGTAGGCAATTCGTACAAACGCTGTACAGGGGCTTGACCGCTCCCCACCTCTCGCGCACCGACATCTTGCGCAGCTCAGCACATACAGCAAGGGCATGATGCCCCTGGCACACCGGGCACACCGTTGTTCGTGGCTCTGGTGCCGAGGCCGACGTTGTTCTGCTGCTAGCTGCTGGAACGGTGGCCATGGTGTTGTGGCCTTGCGTACGCCCTGTAGCCGCTTTCTCCGGCTTTTTGACCGTCAAGACGTCCCCAATGCGAGCATCGACCTGGCGCATGCGATGCACTCTATCCAGCAGCCATCTGGACAGGTCATCCACGTTACCAGTGGCGTCGTCATAACGCTCAATGTAGCGCAGCAGAAGGTTGCGGGGCAGTTTCTGTGTAACCGTTACGTACATCTCTCTTCCCGACATGATGTGGCCCGCCTGCATGTTTAGCAGCACGTTGCGGAGCTTGATGGCGAGCGTCTGCAGAGCGGCGGTGTCTTTGTCGTGCTGAATGCGTGGCAGTGCATACAGCTCTTTCTGCTGGCGCTCGAGCTCGCGCTGGCTGCCACCATACCACGCATCCAGCTCAGCCATTGCGGACTGGTACGCACCCTCGCCGTCCAGCAAGTCCGCTATCAGATATTCTGCTGCTCCACCGGCCACTGCTCCGCGAAGACGAGCCATCTTGTAGTGGTCGGACACATATGGGTCCTCGTCCACCAGACGCAAAAACCGCTGCTGCCACTTCATGTAGCTGTTCTCTTCCCCATTAAACTTTGGCAACTCCAACGGTTTTATTTGTGCCGGGCGAATGCCCTGGCGCCAACCGTCTGGTATGCCGTCTGCCCATTTCTGCACGCGGGCCATGTCGGGTGGGAGCGTCTGATGTTCGACGATTCGACGAGGCTGTGGTCTGTACGTCTGCTGCGGTTGTGACTGTTGTGGTGGCTGTGGCTGCGGCTGAGGCATGCTCAGTGCACCCGCAACGGTTACAGGTAGCTGATTGAGCACTGGTTGCTGCCGCACTAGGTACGAGGCAGCTGCTACTGGTTGATGCACTGAAGCGTGGTGATGGTGCACGGCTCGCTTTCCTTGCTGCACTGCCATCGTGTGCTGCACTGCAGCTCCTGGATGCCGCACAGCTGAGTGCCAGATTGGCCTTGGCTGCTGAGCCTGACTGAATGACACTGCAGAATCTTCGGAGGCCTCAGACGTGCCAGCTGACTGCCTTGCGGCTGACATTCTCCAGTCCATGTTCCGCGCGCCATCCACTGCTGCTGTCTGTTCAGTAAGGCTATCATATCCCCGGGTTTCGGCACCAGCTTGCCCTGCTGGCTTGACAACGCGACCCTGTTCCACACAACTCAATGATACGCACTTTGCGGCCGGGACGACACGAGTGTTGCCACATCTTTGCAAGGCATCGTCAAACTTGGCAAGTGCCTCCGCAGTCAACCCATGCCCTCGCCGCCTCGAGGAACTCCTCTGGGACAGCTGCTCCGTTTTTATTGCTTCCTCTAACGCCAACTTTTTGGCCCAAATGTCCTTGCGGAGTTCAATCTCCCTCTTCTTTACATCTAACTCCATGGTGGCGAGCTCCTCCGCCGCTTCCAGCTCTGTAGCTTTCAGTTCGACCTTGAGCTGGGAACCGCTACTGGCCCTGGACGGGACAGCGGACACCGAGCTCCTTTTATCCGCAGCCGCGGCGAGTTCGGGCTCCTCGTGTCCATATCTCAATGGTGGCACACCCTTGGTTGAGCGTTGGCTCGTACGCGGAGCTGACGCCGAGGACATGATGCTAACTTTACGTTCCACAGCACTATAACTTTACTACAATGTCTACATACTACTACACTCTACAGAACAAGCTCAGTCCGAGATCCGGCTCGAAGGACCAGTTGTTTAGGACTCTTTCCCTTTCGGTGAAGACTGTATTAAATTCTAATTGTTCGAACTCTGGTGTAGTGAACTGACACTCGGAAAACAACATGCAGACATGGAACACAACTAAAAATGCAGAGAATGAAACCAGGAAAACGAAAAGGCAAACAACAACCACAACTGTCACTAATCTGGGCAAGAAGCTAACCACCATTCTCTCAAAACTTGACAAAAACTCTCTCTCAAATCGCTGTTCTCAGCAAAACGTGCCTGCGTGCGTGCATTGGCTTGCGCCGCATGCATGTACACAACGACGTGGCATAGAGAGAAAATGCAGCGTACAGAAAATGCATGCCGTAGCCATAGAGATACTAATAATTATTATGGCGACTGCCAAAGTCCGCGTGCACGTGCAGCGCGGAGTGCAGGTGCAACAAAAAGAAAAGCAATCATAATTTGAATGCAGAACAAAACAGAAACTAGCAATGTGCTGAAGTGAAAGACTAAAGAATTGTTGATTACGGAGGTGAAAACAGTGTCTGTCAAGGGGTGCTTGCACCCAGCGACAGGGTGACAGCACACCCTGTCAGCGAGAGTAAGTTTCGCCAAGTAGATCGTAGCGGAGTTGCCGCGGATGGCGATAATGCAACGGATCAAGTACTAGTAAGTACATGTACATTGCAACCAAATTAGTGTGTCAACAATTCTACTTATAATAAATTAGCACGATTCACAAGATATTCCGCTCGTGAACATGTCGTGGTACGAACACGCATAGCAATTACTATATCGTAAAATGTGTCTCGACGTAGACGTAACGGATATGCACTCGTGATGTAACAGATCTAACAGACTAACAAATAAATATTACACTCGCGAAATGCATAGCAGTAATACGCACCGCACCAATATTGCAAGCGACCTAGCAGGTCTTGACAATACTGCCCTTGCAGCATGTGACAGTTCTGTACACAATTCGTAACTACAATACACTAATAGTATCAACGTGCAACATGTGACATGTGATAGTTCTGTACATACACGCTCACTGGTGTCAGCACTGGTCTTGAACTCAGAACCTTGCGATTCGCAGGCAAGCCCACAACCACTCCGCCAAAGTGCTGGTCAGTAGGCTGTGGCAATTATTTCCCTACACTGCTGGCTTGATGACATGTTTTGCAAATTATCACTTCAGCATATTGTGGTGAGTGCATGAACGGGTGTACAGCCTAAAGTCGGGTGTGTGGTAAAGTGTGTGAAGGGAACTGCAGGCAGTAGTGTAGGCAGTAGTGTAGGCAGTAGTGTAGGCAGTAGTGTAGGCAAAAGTGTAGGCAGAAGTGTAGGCAGTAGTGTAGGCAGTAATGCAGGCAGCACTGAGGATTGTAGGTAGTAGTGTAGGCAGTAGTGTAGGCAGTTGTGTGGGCAGTAGTGCAGGCAGGACTGAGGAGGGCGGGCTGGACTGATCAGCGTGGGAGGGATTGTGGGAAGGAGTGCCGCCAGGAGTGTGGGCAGGAGTGTGATCAGGAATGCGCGCAGAGAAGTGTTGGCAGGGTATTGTGGGTAGGGAGTGTGGGCAGAGTGTACACTGTTCTTCTGAAAGGGGGTCAACTGGGGAAGCTAGATCCGCTCACACTATGGCCAGTGACTGTGTGGGTGCACTAACCACGGATGGCATAATGTCAGCCAGTAAACACATATCCGTGAACCCGGAGCCATGGTAGAGAAGTATGGGCAGGGGAGTGTGGGCAGGGGAGTGTGGGCAGGGGAGTGTGGGCAGGGGAGTGTGGGCAGGGGAGTGTGGGCAGGGAGTGTGGGCAGGGAGTGTGGGCAGGGAGTGTGGGCAGGGGAGTGTGGGCAGGGAGTGTGGGCAGGGAGTGTGGGCAGAGAAATGTGGGCAGAGAAGGGTGGGCAGGGAGTGTGGGCAGGGGGAGTGTGGGCAGAGTAGTGTGGGCAGCGAGTGTGGTGTGGGCAGGGGGAGTGTGGGTGGGGGAGTGTGGGCAGAGAAGTGTGGGCAGGGAGTGTGGGCTGGGAGTGTAGGCAGGGGCAACGTGGGCAAAGTGTGCAGACAGGAGTGTGGGCAGGAGTTTGGGCGTAGACAAGAGTATGAGCAGGAATGCGTGCAGGAGTGCGGCCAGTAATGTGGGCATCTACATGTGTGTGTGCAAGTATCGAATTATGTCATTAAATGGTTAGTATGTTCCATGTTTGTTCGTTTTGAATGTGTTCGTGAGTTTGTATGTGTGTGTGTGTGTGTGTGTGTGTGTGTGTGTTTGTATATAATTATGTGTGTGTGTGTGTGTGTGTGTGTGTGTGTGTGTGTGTGTGTGTGTGTGTGCGTGTGCGTGTGCGTGTGCGTGTGTATCTACAGCCATGGCATGTGGTCAACGGACGAACGCATTGCAAACCTGTATGAAGCGGAGCTCTCTGAACAAACAGGTGCGTTATTCCTTTTAACATAATACTGCTCTCTTTATCCTGTTCTCATCTATCTGTACTCAACTGCCCTTCAATTTGAGTGCTGTTACCATTGTTGTCTTAGTCTGTCTGTATGCTATATACATACACAAAAACACACAAAAATACATACCTTCTTGCTCTACACACACTTGCTCTACATACACTGGCTTATACTTCATACCATACTCACCCTCATGCAATTGGCCATCTACATAAGTGGTGGATATTGCTAGATATTCACCGCTTATATTCACCACTTTTCGATACGTACTGTAAAGAGAGCAGTACTCGGTGCTGAGCTTAATTTCTCTTTAGTCAGCGCACCGGAGATGGCGAGTGCCGTAGAAAATTTCTACGCTAACTTCCGCACACAGGACTTTTCTGAGTACAAATTAAATCGGCATGTGACCAGGTGGTGACAAGTCATCAGCCAGCGAGCAAACAAGGTTTTTTACGCTCGGCATGTCCATGGATTGAGGATCGAGTGGCAAGCAAGGAATTTCGTTTGTACTCAGAAATGTTCTGATTATGGACGTTGGCGTAGAACTTTTCTAGGGCACACAACAGCTCCGGTGCGCTGCCTGAAAAGAAAATATGGGAGGGCACAATCGCTTAGATTGCTGGTGTACTAGCTGTGCTAGTACTTGTTAGCAACAATCCGAACTAGCGCACACACTGCACTGCATTGCTGTGTACTGCATTCAAGACTGACGTCATGCGCTTTGTTTTGCTGCGTAATCACAAATGGCACCAGCCCATTTTTTGCGGAAAAGAAAAACAAATCTTGCTTGGCCTGTTGTGCTCTTCCAGACAACGGATCGTGCTTCAGCAGTGTTTCTTTTCCTTTCGTAGCTTTGCTGCCAGCCCGAGTGTCACCTCGACACTGTATTTCTTCAGTATGTCTGACCTTACTGTCGACACTGTCAAGGCAATGCCTTGCCAAGCCCTCCGCGGCGAGCCTTCTCAGCGCGGCTTGAATCCGAAAGGAAACTTAGTAAAAGTATTTTACAGGACCATTTGCTGGCACAACTAGCCCTTGGTAGTGAGGTCTGCTCCGGCCAAGAGAACCAGCAACATGACAGTGCGGACACGGCTCGCGAGCCCGGAAGCCCGACGTGCACCAATGCTTCCTCCGCCAGCTCAGGTGACGCGGGCTGAACGGATCTCTGCGCTCCCGTACGGGACGAGGTGTAGTCGGCTTTGTCGGCCGCCATTTTATTATTATCGGAGAGCATTGTGCCGCTCCTCACCCAAGGCCAAGGCAATGCGGCAGCTGCCGCCACTACGCCAGGCCAAGCTCCTGTAACCCACCCGATCAGCCACCTTCACCAGCTGTACCCAAGGCTGTGCAAGAACGTATCTTGCGAGGGGAGTTCGTAGATTTTTCAAGTAACTAGTTTGTTGCCTGAAATTCTTGCACACTTCCGGCCCAACATTCCGGCTGGTGCACAGCCCGAATAACGATAGCCAACTAAATATCGTTGAGTCGGATGACGCGAAGCGGGTGCGTCGCAAGGTTCACGATAATTACACATGTAGCTACCCGGCTCGAGGCATGGACCACATACATGTCTGTTATCACGGCTGCTGCCCTTCACCGCACTGCTGAACTGATTGCGTACCAGCAGTTGATCCTGACTGCTAACTGCCAGTTCTTCCCAAGCGCATGGCTAGAGTACGACCGCCAGCTGCGGATGCTCGTGGCCCAGTAACCAGGCACGAAGAGGTTGGACACCATCGACGAGAACCTATGGCAGATAGCTGTCACAGGCCATGCACACCCAAAATGCGCTCAATGTAAGACGGTCCATCCAGGGGCGGTTTGTGTCGTTTTCGTCCCGAAGCCAGCAGCATTTACCTCCAGTGGTCACAACCATACCAGCGACGGCCAAGAAATCTGCCGCAACTTCAATGGAGGTCGCTGTTCTTCGTCGTCGTGCCGCTTCTCCCACACCTGCAGCCAGTGTGGCAAGGACCACCCATGCATCATGTGCAACCAGCAGCAGCGCGGAGCCAATCGGCCACCCCGCCGCTCCTAGCAGAATGGCTACTGAATCGCTTGACTCGGTACGTAGCTTCTTTCCTATACACTCTGCAGACACCACACTGCTAGCTGACCACTTTGCCCGCCTGTTACGTAACCACTCAGATCAATCATGTGTTGCGTATGTTCTCCATGGCCTGCGCCGTGGCTTTACTCTTGGATCTGCCGGCCAACACGACATTTCGGTTTTCTCTAATAATCTACCATTGGCTTTCACTCACTCGGCATTTATATCCGAGCAATTAGCTGCTTCCTGCGCCCGCAGCGAGACCACAGGCCCATTTCCGTCACCTCCGTTTCAGTTCATGCGCCGCTCTGGTATTGGTGCCATCCCCAAAAAGAACGGCAAGCCGCGAATGATCCACCATCTGTCTAGTCCGGAAGGCACCGGCGCAAACGACAGCATTCCTGCCGAGCCGCTCTCTCTGCAATACGCGAGCATTGACAACGCGATCAACATCATCATGTCATGCCCACAGCTTGTGTATTTGTCCAAGCTCGATGTACGCAGTGCATTTCGGCAGATCCCAGTCCGCCGTCAGGACTTCGCTGGGAAGGCTCCTACTACTACGAGCGCTTTCTGCCTTTCGGCCTCCGCTCCAGCCCAGCCGTCTTTGACTCAGTAGCCACAGCAGTCAACTGGATCATGCAGCACGAGTTTGCTATAGATCACCGGCTTCACTACCTCGATGACTTTCTCGATATCTCCACTGGTTTGGCTGCAGCCAACCAGCAACTCACCATCCCCCTCCGGGCGTTCACGTATCTCGGCACTCCTCTTTGCTCCATCCCAGCTCGAAGGGCCATCACCATCATTGACCTTCCTTGGTATTGTCCTAGACTGCGAGCGCCACGAAGCTCGGCTACCAGAGGACAAGCTGTCCGAGATCCGTGCGCCACTCATGGCTACTATCAGCGAGCGCAGCATCGGCCAGCGTCAACTCGAGTCCCTCCTGGGGAAGCTCACTTTTGCTGCCCGAGTCATCGTTCCTGGACACACATTCATGCGTGAACTATGATCAGCGTGCCCTGAACTGTATCTGTGTATGCGAGTGCGGTGCATAAAGCCCACCTTGAGAATGGGTTTGCCGGCCCCTTAGTAGATGCGTGGCTTCTGAAGAGGGTGTTGAAGGGCATCCAGCGATGCCATGGTACGGCTGCACTCACCCCTCGCCTTCCTATAACTATGCCAATCCTACGACACCTGACGGATGCACGCCGGAAAAGTAGTATCCTGAATGGCCATGAAAAGCTGCTCTACCAAGCCGCCATGCTGCTTCTTTGGATTTCTTCGGTGCGCTGAATTCACTAATGGCATCACACGGGGCTGTACTAGCTCCCCTGGTGATGGACGCCTGCAACTCTTCCTGCTTTCATCCAAGATGGACCCATTCGGTAAAGGCGTAACTAGTGACATTGGCCCGTCTGTACCGCCGTACTGCCCGGTCCGTGCCATTGTTAGCTACCCATTTGTCACTCGTCGCGAGGGACCGGAGCAACTCTTGTTCGCACTCTCGAACAGACAGCAGCTGACCAGGCAGTCATTCACAGTAACAGTATGGTCTCTTGTCGCTGCGGCCGGTGTACCATCCCAGTCGAACTACTCTGGGCATTCGGTCCACATTGGTGCAGCCACCACCGCTGCTATGGCTAGTGCCCCCCGACTCCTTCTTCCGAGTGGCAGGTCAGTGGAAAGAGCGATGCGTGTCTATGCTACATCCAGACTACAACAAGCGCATAGCGCCAGCTATCGTCCCGGCTTGCTGCCGTGCCATGGATGCCATGATCCCCAACTCGGGTGAGTAACGAGCTACTGAACTCTAGCTGCGCAATGCTTGCCTGTGCTGACATTAATTGACCCTTGCTATGCGTCAATAGTGCTTAGCTAACGGAGTGCTGGTTTCATGGGTCCACTCTCACAACTGGTGTTATCTAGCTATTTGCTGCGGCTCTGCCTTGCGCTATATTACATCCATTTAGCATTGCAGCTCTACGTTGAGCTAACAGCAGCTCTACTTTGAGCTAACAGCAGCTCTACTTTGAGCTAACAGCAGCTCTACTTTGAGCTAACCGCAGCTCTACTTTGAGCTAACAGCAGCTCTACTTTGAGCTAACAGCAGCTCTACTTTGAGCTAACCGCAGCTCTACTTTGAGCTAACAGCAGCTCTACTTTGAGCTAACAGCAGCTCTACCTTGAGCTAACAGCAGCTCTACTTTGAGCTAACAGCAGCTCTACTTTGAGCTAACAGCAGCTCTACTTTGAGCTAATCGCAGCTCTACTTTGAGCTAACAGCAGCTCTACTTTGAGCTAACCGCAGCTCTACTTTGAGCTAACCGCAGCTCTACTTTGAGCTAACAGCAGCTCTACTTTGAGCTAACAGCAGCTCTGCTCTGAGCTAACAGCAGCTCTGCTCTGAGCTAACACCAGCTCTACTTTGAGCTTCAAACCAGTTGTTTCGAAACCAGCACTCCTCAATCCAAAGATGCCTCTTTGTTGACTTGTTTGTGTGAGGGATGGGGCTAATGGTGTACTAGCTGTGCTAGTACTTGTTAGCAACAATCCGAACTAGCGCACACACTGCACTGCATTGCTGTGTACTGCATTCAAGACTGACGTCATGCGCTTTGTTTTGCTGCGTAATCACAAATGGCACCAGCCCATTTTTTGCGGAAAAGAAAAACAAATCTTGCTTGCCCTGTTGTGCTCTTCCAGACAACGGATCGTGCTTCAGCAGTGTTTCTTTTCCCACCATCCCTCCCTATCCAACTTATTCACACCATCATAATATTATCGTACCCACTAACCGGGTCCACTCTCACAACTGGTGTTATCTAGCTATTTGCTGCGGCTCTGCCTTGCGCTATATTACATCCATTTAGCATTGCAGCTCTACGTTGAGCTAACAGCAGCTCTACTTTGAGCTAACAGCAGCTCTACTTTGAGCTAACAGCAGCTCTACTTTGAGCTAACCGCAGCTCTACTTTGAGCTAACAGCAGCTCTACTTTGAGCTAACAGCAGCTCTACTTTGAGCTAACCGCAGCTCTACTTTGAGCTAACAGCAGCTCTACTTTGAGCTAACAGCAGCTCTACCTTGAGCTAACAGCAGCTCTACTTGGAGCTAACAGCAGCTCTACTTTGAGCTAACAGCAGCTCTACTTTGAGCTAATCGCAGCTCTACTTTGAGCTAACAGCAGCTCTACTTTGAGCTAACCGCAGCTCTACTTTGAGCTAACCGCAGCTCTACTTTGAGCTAACAGCAGCTCTACTTTGAGCTAACAGCAGCTCTGCTCTGAGCTAACAGCAGCTCTGCTCTGAGCTAACACCAGCTCTACTTTGAGCTTCAAACCAGTTGTTTCGAAACCAGCACTCCTCAATCCAAAGATGCCTCTTTGTTGACTTGTTTGTGTGAGGGATGGGGCTAATGTCTATTAACCGACTCCCGAAAATGATGCCTACAGATTGGTCAAATCTTCTCATCGAAACGGACGATGATTGGCTCACGTAAATCACAAGCTTGCTCTCCAAGGTGATTGGCTCGAGCGTGTTCTCCAAGGTGATTGGCTCGAGCGTGCTCTCCAAGGTGATTGGCTCGAGTGTGTTCTCCAAGGTGATTGGCTCGAGCATGTTCTCCAAGGTGATTGGCTCGAGCGTGTTCTCCAAGGTCGTCGCGTCCCGCGCCACAGGCACCAGTACGTGTCCACGATCTGTCCTAACAAACTTGAACAAGATTCTGTCAAGAACACAGTCATCGCTCTCCGATTCATTCAAGACAATGCCAGTCGGTAGTAAAGTAACAACGACTTACGTTAGTTCTGCGTACATGTACATGTATGACCAACGTGACTCGTTTGTTGAGCTGTAGGGATGATAGGGTGAATATGGAGAGGCATAAGTCTATTAATAATAAATATTACATATAGACAGGCATACAGACAATAGTAATATACATACAGACAATAGTAACTGTTTCTGATGATCGCTTAGTGCGTGAAACTCAGAGTGAAAATACTATCTTTGTCCTTTTATTGTCTGAACCCGCTCTGCCTCTCGGTATTGAGCACTGTCTTGGACAGCCTGGAACATCTCTGTTTTACAGACAGACCTATTCATAAAATGGAACAGCACACTAATCAAAGGACAGTTGACCGCAGATAGATGTGAACCGGATGACGAGAGAAGTCTAGAAATACTGACTGAGAACAGAATTGTTTAAATAGAAAGAAGACAGTATGCACGAGGATTGCAAGGATAGGTCACAATGCAGAACAGCGCTGCTTCTTGAAGCTTGTGGGACGGTCAGATTAATTTTCATGGACCGCGCCAGGCGGAAAAAATCCTCGCACCGAAGCGCAGTGAGGGTAAAAACCAGGCGCATGTCCCCAATGGTGATTGTATGGCATCATGTAAGCAGGCAAATCACATCATAGGAAAAGTTTGAAAAGCAATATTTATGTGCATAGAAATGAAGGCTGGAAGGGCAAGGACACTGATGAGATTCAAACCTGATTGAGGAAGCCAGGAAAAGAAACAACGATAAACAAATTCATCAGTTGCCATGGTTGCAACCGAAAAATATTGCCCGAGAAATATTTTCTTGCCTATCTCGCTGCGCTTGCCTGTCAAGAAATTATTTTTTTAAACGTCCGGGCTTCGAAAGTGCTTGGCTTATGTTGAGTGGATGAGTCTATATTGCGTGACTTATCACAAGTATGTGGATTAACAGTCTGTGACTAATCATGAGTAGACAGATAACCAATCTCATTGCACACCTATCCCATAATTATGTGTATGCCTGGTGATGTAAAACAAACTGTATCATTTTGTCTTGAAATATGCTGGAGAAAAGAAAAGCATTGCAAGCACCGTGAATGCAAATACCACGCCAGGTACCTAGGTGTAGAAATCTCGTTATTTTCAGGTACCTAGGTGTAGAAATCTCGTTATTGGCAGGTATCTAGGTGTAGAAGTGTTGAAACAATCTCGTTTTTGTCAGGTACCTAGGTGTAGAAGTATTGAAGCAATCTCGTTAATGTCAGATGTGAAAACTGTGGCTTCATTCATAGCAAAGTCAACCAGAGTGTTCTGGCAGCATGCATTATGAGGCGAATGCACAACTTAAAAACTGGATGTTGATAAGGACGCGTTCAGCCGATAAAACAAGTCAAGAATAGTATAAGTAAGGCGGATGTTACGAAACAAAAAAAGAGAATAATATGATGAATCAAAATGCAAAAATTCCTAATCATTTTTCGTGACACACTCATCAGGGAAAGCTATTATCTCCTCGTCGCTTGTTTAAAGTTGAATGTGCTCAATACACCATGTGTGCTCCCTGTATGCTAGTGTTAGTTTACTTGTGTGCAAATGTCTACTTCACACTATCTTGCAACACAACTTGCGTCTCTAGATCGGAAAAGAGGTTTTTTTCTATTCTTGTATTGTATTATATTGATTTATTTGAATTGGGTATCTCAACAGTACAATAAGTACAACTTGCGAACATACACGCTTATGTCGTTACACGCAGTACTGAGAAAAATGCATTTTAAAGTTGTGTGTTTTCCGCATAAAGTGATGTACATGTATAACTCACTTTTTGAAACATCTATAACTCTGTGAAACATGACAATTTTAGACCTAGGTGTTTTTACAGTGATCTCCTGGGATACAGCAATGCCAGGGTATAGGTCACTCAAAATGCTCAAAAATGACATACGCCACCTTTTTGAATTTAGAGGCTCATTTGATCTATGAGCTTGCTCAGGTCTCAAAGAGAACTTCAGTTTGCAGGAGATTCTGTACGAAAAAAAAGGGTAATTGTCTCTGTGGATAGTGAATACATGACAATTTGGGAATGTGTGTTATGCTTACCTTTTATGAAATCAATTTACAATTTATACCCACCTGGCAATATGGCGGTAAACACACGCTTGCCCACACAAGCTCTCTAGGCTGTAAGGTTCTGGCACAGAGCTCTCCTTCTCACCACCACCACCATCAGTTCGCGCCTGGCGCCTGGTCGATGCATGGCTGGCGGTATCCGGCATAGCAGGCTGGTACATCAAGTAGCGCATAGCACAAAGATGATGACACAGCAACGACATAGCTCGATTGCGACGTACGTTTCTTCCCCGCTGGACTCATCGGTGTATGTCGTTGCTGTGTCATCATCTATGTGACATGCGCTACTTGATGTACCAGCCTGCTATGCCGGATACCGCCAGCCATGCATCGACCAGGCACCAGGCGCGAACTGATGGTGGTGGTGGTGAGAAGGAGAGCTCTCTGCCAGAACTTTGCAGAATAGAGAGCCAGTGTTGGCAGGCGTGTGTTTACCCCCATATTGCCAGGTGTGTCTTTACCACCATATTTATCAACCATAAGTACAGCTGCAGTGGTGTCTTCAACTTCATTCTCCAAATTTATACCCATTCCTATAATCAATTTTTTCTGCACAGAGACATGGATAGTTTTTATATGCTGTTTTCTGTTCTTTCCTGTTGAATGTATCAGGCCATGCTGAGCGTCATGCTGCTCATGGATTCTGTGGTATTGTCCTACCCACTTCACCACTGTAAGTTCTACTCATGCATTGCTCTACAATGAAGTATAGAACAGTTGAATAAGTCCTAGGTAAAGTTCAGTGAAATGTGCTGCACCATTTCCAGCATAATGAGTCAGCCTGGCCCGGTGAGTGAGTTCTCAGACCATGATTGTGCAATGACAGGTATATGTAACATGATCAAGTCTTGACTTGAAGAGAATTGCTTCAGCTGTGCTGTACACCACAGTGAGTTGGGAACACGAGGTGTGGAAAACAGGGCAACATTGATGCAGAAAATGGGTTTTCACCTTTGCCCATATACTGTAATTGGTGGATCTGAATTTTCCTCTCCATCCGTAAAAAAGCGGCATCTGACGCTTTTGCATGTGGTCTTTTCATGTTGTCTTTTCATGTGGTGTTTTCATGTTGTCTCTTCATGTGGCGGCGGTGTCATCCCTAGAAGGCAGAAAGGTCTTATTGAGCTGTGTAGTTCCCAGATCCTTTTAAAAACTCATTTCCCTATTTGAAGTACATAATCAGAAGAAAGAAAAGATCGCAGTTGCGCAACAAAACTGGCTATACAATTGTGTTGAGAAACACAGTTTAGGAAGTTTTGCTTGTACAATGCCACCACCATGCCTGAGATACCAGGGTGGCAGATGCAGCACGTGACAGTGAGGATGACGTAGTAAGTATCACAAGCAATGCCCGACAAGGTGCAAACCTTGTTAGCTGCATCTATGTTACCCTCACTACGAATACAGTGTAGTGAGTACACAGTTGACAGTGGTTGTCAGAGCAGTTATAACTGCATGTAAAGTGGTTCACGCTTGCATCACAGTATTTGTTAACACAGTACACCCTCACTGGTGTCAGCACTGGTCTTGAACTTAGAACCTTGCGATTCGCAGGCAAGCCCACAACCACTCGGCCAAAGTACTGGTCAGTAGGCAGTGGCAATTATTTCCCTACACTGCTCGCTTAACGACAATTTTTGCAAATTATCACTTCAGCATATTGTGGTGAGTGCATGAACGGGTGTACAGCCTAAAGCCTGGTGTGTGGTATAGTGTGTGAAGAGAACTGCGGGCAGAAATGTAGGCAGAAGTGTAGGCAGTAGTGTAGGCAGTAGTGTAGGCAGTAGTGCAGGCAGTAGTGTAGGCAGTAGTGTAGGCAGTAGTGTAGGCAGAAGTGCAGGCAGAAGTGTAGGCAGTAGTGTAGGCAGAAGTGTAGGCAGTAGTGTAGGCAGTAGTGTAGGCAGTAGTGTAGGCAGTAGTGTAGGCAGTAGTGCAGGCAGTAGTGTAGGCAGTAGTGTAGGCAGTAGTGTAGGCAGTAGTGTAGGCAGTAGTGTAGGCAGTAGTGTAGGCAGTAGTGTAGGCAGTAGTGCAGGCAGTAGTATAAGCAGTAGTGTAGGCAGTAGTGTAGGCAGTAGTGTAGGCAGTAGTGTAGGCAGTAGTGTAGGCAGTAATGTAGGCAGTAGTGTAGGCAGTAGTGTAGGCAGTAGTGTAGGCAGTAGTGTAGGCAGTAGTGTAGGCAGTAGTGTAGGCAGTAATGTAGGCAGTAGTGTAGGCAGTAGTGTAGGCAGTAGTGTGGGCAGTAGTGTAGGCAGTAGTGTAGGCAGTAGTGTAGGCAGTAGTGTAGGCAGTAGTGTAGGCAGTAGTGTAGGCAGTAGTGTAGGCAGTAGTGTAGGCAGTAGTGCAGGCAGTAGTGTAGGCAGTAGTGTAGGCAGTAGTGTAGGCAGTAGTGTAGGCAGTAGTGTAGGCAGTAGTGTAGGCAGTAGTGTAGGCAGTAGTGCAGGCAGTAGTATAAGCAGTAGTGTAGGCAGTAGTGTAGGCAGTAGTGTAGGCAGTAGTGTAGGCAGTAGTGTAGGCAGTAATGTAGGCAGTAGTGTAGGCAGTAGTGTAGGCAGTAGTGTAGGCAGTAGTGTAGGCAGTAGTGTAGGCAGTAGTGTAGGCAGTAGTGTAGGCAGTAGTGTAGGCAGTAGTGTAGGCAGTAGTGCAGGCAGTAGTGTAGGCAGTAGTGTAGGCAGTAGTGCAGGCAGTAGTGTAGGCAGTAGTGTAGGCAGTAGTGCAGGCAGTAGTGTAGGCAGTAGGGTAGGCAGTAGTGTAGGCAGTAGTGTAGGCAGTAGTGTAGGCAGTAGTGTAGGCAGTAGTGTAGGCAGAAGTGTAGGCAGTAGTGTAGGCAGTAGTGTAGGCAGTAGTGTAGGCAGTAGTGTAGGCAGAAGTGTAGGCAGTAGTGTAGGCAGTAGTGTAGGCAGTAGTGTAGGCAGTAATGTAGGCAGTAGTGTAGGCAGTAGTGTAGGCAGTAGTGTAGGCAGTAGTGTAGGCAGTAGTGTAGGCAGTAGTGTAGGCAGTAATGTAGGCAGTAGTGTAGGCAGTAGTTCAGGCAGTAGTGTAGGCAGTAGTGTAGGCAGTAGTGTAGGCAGTAGTGTAGGCAGTAGTGTAGGCAGTAGTGTAGGCAGTAGTGTAGGCAGTAGTGTGGGCAGTAGTGTAGGCAGTAGTGTAGGCAGTAGTGTAGGCAGTAGTGTAGGCAGTAGTGTAGGCAGTAGTGTAGGCAGTAGTGTAGGCAGTAGTGTAGGCAGTAGTGCAGGCAGAAGTGTAGGCAGTAGTGTAGGCAGGACTGAGGAGGGCGGGCTGGACTGATCAGCGTGGGAGGGAGTGTGGGAAGGAGTTGCGGCAGGAGTGTGGGCAGGAGTGTGATCAAGAATGCGAGCAGAGAAGTGAGGGGAGGAGCATGAGCGTGTTCAGAAATGCTGGCAGGAGTGTGGGCAGGAGTGTGATCAGGAATGCGCGCAGAGATGTGTGGGCAGGGAATGTTCGCAGGGAGTGTGAGCAGAGTGTACACTGTTCTTCTGAAAGGGGGTCTTTTGGGGAAGCTAGGCCCGCTCACACTGTGGCCAGTGACTGTGTGGGTGCACTAACCACGGATGGCATAATGTCGGCCAGTAAACACATATCCGTGAACCCGGAGCCATGGTAGAGAAGGGTGGGCAAGGGAGTGTGGGCAGGGAGTGTGGGTAGGGGAGTGAGGGCAGGGAGTGTGGGGAGGGGAATGTGGGCAGGGGAGTGTGGGCAGGGAGTGTGGGTAGAGAAGAGTGGGCAGGGGAGTGTGGGCAGGGGAGTGTGGGCAGGGCCTGTGGGTAGAGAAGAGTGGGCAGGGGAGTGTGGGCAGGGGAGTGTGGGCAGGGGAATGTGGGCAGGGGAGTGTGGGCAGGGGAGTGTGGGCAGGGGAAGTGTGGGCAGGGAGTGTGGGCAGGGAGTGTGGGCAGGGAGTGTGGGCAGGGGAGTGTGGGCAGGGGAGTGTGGGTAGAGAAGGGTGGGTGGGGGAGTGGGGGCAGGGGAGTGTGGGCAGGGGAGTGTGGGTAGAGAAGGGTGGGTGGGGGAGTGGGGGCAGGGGAGTATGGGCTGGGGAGTGTGGGCGGGGGAGTGTGGGCAGGGAGTGTGGGCAGGGAGTGTGGGCAAGGAAGTGTGGGCAGGGGCAGTGTGGGCATGGGCAATGTGGGCAGGGGCAGCATGGGCAAAGTGTGCGGACAGGAGTGTGGGCAGGAGTTTGGGCGTTGGCAAGAGTGTGAGCAGAAATGCGCGCAGGAGTGCGGCCAGTAATGTGGGCATCTGCATGCGTGTGCAAGTATTGATTGTTATGTCATCAAAATAGTCAGTATGTTGCATGTTTGCTCGTTTTGAATGTGTGTGTGAGTTTGTGTGTGTGTGTGTGTGTGTGTGTGTGTTTGTGTGTGTGTATCTTCAGCCATGCCATGTGGTCAACATACGAACGCATTGCAAACCTGTATGAGGAGGATGAAGCGGAGCTCCCGGGACAAACAGGTGCGTGATTCCTTTTAACAAAGCAATTCTCTCTTTATCCTGTTCTCATCTATCTGCACTCAACTGCCCTTCAATTTGCGGTTGAAAAATTTTATTCTCACGATGGCCTGTGGTCAATAAGAGAAAAATAATTACAGGCACGGGGATCAGATTCAGAGAGATCAAAGTTTAGCTGCTTGCTGAGGCAGTAGCGATGGTAATAGGGAGTTTATCATAGAGGCTGGGCGCAATGGAGCTATAGATGTGCTGAGCAATGTGAGCAAGTACATACGGAAGAGATGACAAGTTGTAGGATGTTTGCTTTGAAATCTCGTCTGGGGTTGATATGCCGGAGGCTGAGTGGAATGCTATTTTAAGAGATCAAGAGTGTGTGCTGTTACTATTGTTTTCTTAGTCTGTCTGTATGCTATATACATACTCAAAATACATACCTTCTTGCTCTTTATACACTGGCTTATACTTCATTCCATACTCACCCACATGCAATTGGCCAGCTACATAAGTGGTGGATATTGCTAGATATTCACCACTTATATTCACCACTTTTTGATACTTACTGTAAAGAGAGCAGTACTCGGTGCTGCGCTTGATTTCTCTTCAGTCAGCGCACCGGAGATGGCGAGTGCCGTAGAACATTTCTACACTAATTTACGCAAACAGGACTTTTCTGAGTACAAATGAAATCCGCATGTGACCAGGTGGTGACAAGTCATCAGCCAGCAAGCAAACAAAGTTTTGTACACTCGGCATGTCGATGGATTGTAGGTCGAGCGACAAGCAAGGAATTTCGTTTGTACTCGGAAATGTTCTGTTTATGGACGTTGGCGTAGAACTTTTCTATGGCACACAACAGCTCCGCAGCGCTGCCTGAAAAGATAATAAGGGAGAGCAGAATTGCTTAGATTGCTGTCTATTCACCAACTCCCGAAAATGATGCTCACAGATTGGTCAAATCTTCTCATCAAAACCGACGATGATTGGCTCACGTAAAGCACGAGCGTGCTCTCCAAGGTGATTGGCTCGAGTGTGTTCTCCAAGGTGATTGGCTCGAGCGTGTTCTCCAAGGTCGTCGCGTCCCGTGCCACATGCACCAGTACGTGTCCACAATCTGTCCTAACAAACTTGATCAAGATTCTGTCAAGAACACGTCGCTCTCCGATTCATTCAAGACGATACCAGTCGGTAGTGAAGTAACAAGGACTTACGTTAGTTCTGCGTACATGTACATGTATGACCAACATGACTCGTTTGTTGGGCTGTAGGGACGATAGGGTGAATATGGAGAGTTATAAGTCTATAAATATTACATATAGACAGACAAACAGAAAATAGTAACTGTTTCTGATGATCGCTTAGTGCGTGAAACTCAAGTTAAAACACTTTCTTTGTCCTCATATTGTCTGAACCGGCTCTGCCTCTCGGTGTTGAGCACTCTCTTGGACAGCCTGGAACATCTCTATTTTACAGACAGTCATATTCATAAATAGGAACAGCACACTAATTGAAGGACAGTTGACCGCAGATAGATGTGAACTGGATAACGAGAGAAGTCTAGAAATAGTGACTGAGAACAGAATGTTTTAAATAGAAAGAAGACGGTATGTAAGAGGATTACAAGAACGGGTCACAATGCAGACCAGCGCTGCTTCTTGAAGCACGTGGGACGGTCAGATTAATTTTCCTGGACCGCACCAGCCGGAGAAAATCCTTGCGCCAAAGCACGTAGTAGTGAGGTGGAAAACCCGGTGCATGTCCCCAATGGTGATTGTATGGCATCATGGAAGCAGGCAAAGCTCATCATAGGAAAAGTTTGAAAAAGCAAGATGTATGTGCATAGAAATGAAGGTTGGAAGGGCAAGGACACTGATGAGATTCAAACCTGATTGAGGAAGCCAGGAAAAGGAACAACGGTTAAGAACACATCAGATGCCATAGTTGCAACAGAAAAATATTGCCAGAGAAACATTTTCTTGCCTACCTCGCTGCGCTTGCCTGTCCAGAAATTTAATGTCCTGCTCTCGAAAGTGCTTAGCTTATGTTGAGTGCATGAGTCACTGGAGCGTGACTTATCACAAGTCTGTTGATTAAACGTGTGTGACTAATCATGAGTAGACTGATCACCAATCTCATTGAACACCTATCCCATATGTGTATGCCTGGTGATGTAAAACAAACTGTATCATCCTGTCCTGAAATGTGCTGGAGAAAAGAAAAGCATTGCAAGCACCGTGAATGCAAATACCACGCCAGGAGCCTAGGTGTAGAAGTATTGAAGCAATCTCGTTATTGTCAGGTACCTAGGTGTAGAAGTGTTGAAGCAATCTCGTTATTGTCAGATGTGAAAACTGTGGCTTCATTCATAGCAAAGTCAACCAGAGTGTTCTGGCAGCTTGCATTATGAGGCGAATGCACAACTTAAAAACTTGATGTCGATAAAGACGCGTTTTCACTCACAAAGCGACTGTTCAGTACATGGGGTAGTGGTCTACCAGAGCAATCGCACTCACCACCGTGGTGGTTTTCCAGAAATGAGTAGAAGCAAAAAACCACACTCGCAGCCACATAATTGATAAATAGCCGAAAAATATCTAAATCCATCAAAGAACCGCCAGCAAGCGGGGAGAAAAAGCCGTGAAATCCAGTGAACAGCATGGCCAGTGGTGAGAATGGGTGACTGGACAGCAGGGGAGCGCCTGAAAAACAATGACTCCCTACATTCCTAGCCGCGACCGCTCAACGGGGCTAGAGGAAAAACACGCCTTTCGGCCAAAAAACCTTTCTATTTCATTAGTTCCTGCCCCGCTGCCAATCGGACCCAAGAATAGATATAGCAAGAAATGGTATGTAATAACCGGTGTATGTCATAATCATAAGCCACACACATAGGTATAGATTGTCAAGAAGAACAGCGGACGACTCCCATGAAACCAGGGTGGGTGGGCGGGCAAGTTCAACTACCACGCGGAAAAACAAAGACCACGATGGCAGGAGTTGCGCAGAACAAGAGCAAATGCACGAAAATATTTGTGAGTGAAAAATACGTTTTTTGCACTCTTTCGCTACTCTCAGCCGCGAAAAAAACAAAACTTTTCACTCACAAAGCGACTGTTCAGTACATGGGGTAGTGGTCTACCAGAGCAATCACACTCACGATGTAAAGGATAGTGAGGCCGATAGGAGAGCAGCACACAAAGATTTGGACAAGGAAAACGAGCAGTGTGGCGCATGGCGCCAGTGTGCCAAAGTCTTGGGCACACCATCTGTGGCCAAATGTATAGGTACTATGAACATTATGGAGACCCGGCCAGACTTGCCCTGGGATGATCACTAGTAGGCCAGGTTGGGGCCGGCGGCAACCGGGCGAGCACACATCAGCCAGGATAACATGATCAGCAGAGCACTCCGAGCAGACAAAATCTCTGCGAAATGCCCGAAAGTTCCCCTGCTAGGTTGCGAGTGCTACATCATGGAGTAGTACTGCAGTAAATTCAATGTGAGGTCCTGTACTTCCGTGATTGGGCTGGACGTCCGTTCAGTTCCTGCAAGAGAAGGAATCCTGTATCGAATGCACATGTCCGCCCCTCGCACACTTACTGCACACACATGCACCCTTACGCACACTCACTGTACACACACACACACTCACTGTACCCACTCGTACTGCACACACACATACTGTACACACACGTACTGCCCGTGCACGTACACTCCTCCGCGTGCCCCGACAAAAACGGGGTGAAAAGCCGGTTGCGAGACATAAAAAACCCACATACCTCTATGTAACTCTCACTCTAACTCTCTTTCCGTTTCAACATGTCTGTAATCATTCATAACCACATGATCGTTCATCAAGTCATACACCATCATGTGTCATCACTGCCCATCGGGCTTCTCTCTCAACATGGCATCAACCCATACACAACCATGTGTCATCACTGCCCATCGGGCTTCTCCCTCATCATGGCATCAAGCCATACACAACCATGTGTCATCACTGCCCATCGGGCTTCTCCCTCATCATGGCATCAAGCCATACACAACCATGTGTCATCACTGCCCATCGGGCTTCTCTCTCATCATGGCATTAAGCCATACACAACCATGTGCCATCACTGCCCATCGGGCTTCTCCCTCATCATGGCATCAAGCCATACACAACCATGTGTCATCACTGCCCATCGGGCTTCTCCCTCATCATGGCACCAAGCCATACTCATCACTGCCCATCGGGCTTCTCCCTCCCCCTCATCATGGCATCTAGCCATACACAATCATGTGTCATCACCGCCCATCGGGCTTCTCCCTCATCATGGCATCAAGCCATACACAATCTTGTGTCCTCATTGCCCATTGGGCTTCTCCATGTTAATGGCATCAAGCCCTACGCAATCATGTGTCATCACTGCCCATCGGGCTTCTTACTCACTCTGTTATCACTCACATACACACTAAATAATGGCAAGCCGGGTTACCCATTTATACACCACACAAGGCCGTTCCCAATCGCTTGCATCATGTCCCGTCGTGGGTGATCCGGTGTCTGTTCCACGGCCTAGGTACTGGCTTGGTACTGAAAGGACAGCAAGAGGAAAAAATATAGAAATACTTCATTAAGATTCAACACCGAAAACATAAGGACGGCATGCACAGAGATCAAGATACGTAAAGCTTTAACCAGTTGACTTGGCCTGGCAGCTGACTGGGGTGTCTCGCACACCTTAAACAATCAAAGTGGTGGCTTAACTTTTATGAATTGGTTTGGCGTTACAACAGTGGAGTTGTGCAGTGTGCCATCATGTTACCTCACCTCGCACATTGCAGACTGCAGCGACCGAGTGAGGACTACGCGCTACCTGCCGCTTTAGTTATCGCTCCGTCTGGAACGTACACTTATATTGAGCGTGTTCGGTAACCCTAGTCTTACTCTCTGGACGAAGGAAACCTGGACAGTACTGCTTCCCACCCCTGGTCAACATCGCATGCCCCCCTGCGGTTGCTGTCCCATTATCTGTTGTGTTGTTGTCGCTTGCTGCAATAGCCCATGACTATTGTCGTACTTGTTTGCACTCATACAATCCCAGGCTGTACTTTGGAACTGTTTCCATTGCCCATGTACTCCTTATTCTTTGCTTGCTTTTATGCTGAGAGAACATATGCTGGCTCCCTGTACTGCTTAGCCGCGTACTCATTCGGTAGAAATGTGTGAATAATACTACTAATAATCTGACGTGAGTGAGGTGGATGGGCACCTCAGGAACACAAGTTTGAAGTCAGCAAGCAGTCAACTTTTGCGTGAATCTCTTCCGGAACCATGTCTGGTGGACCCCACCCGTGAAAGAACAAACAAACATTGGTCTCGTCCTGCCGGCCAATTGTCCCCGCTTGTGTGTCCGATGGCTGCGGACGTCGAAATCTGTTACACCCCGATTACACCTGGCCGGAAATCTACTAGCATTTTGCACGATGTTTGACATGGACAACATGTACTGCCATGCCATTGTTGCCCGATGTTTGTACTCAGACTGACAAACTATCTACTCTTGTTGTTCATGGTTGCCTCTACAAACACGATACAGTCATATATATCGCTCTGCACATCCATAACATTCTGATGGTCCCGTGACATTGATCATGCACCCTGTGTAGGGCCTAGGGCGGTACGGGCTGGGCGTTTGTTTGCTCCCTTGAATACGACGGCATGTACACCCCTTTCGATCGTGTCAACTACATGATTATGTACTTTGTAAATCATCGAAAAAACATCCACAATCTCAAGTACTGATACTTATCTTTTCTCTCCGGTCCATGTGCGGAAAACTGGCTGGCTGTCCCAGTGAACTCCGGTTGGTGTTGTCAACAGACAGCTACGACCTTGCTGCCCTTCGCCACGATATCAGACAACTACTTCAGTATGACTCCGGTGTCACCTCTGCCAGGAGCTTTGCCACCATTTGGGACACGATGTTGTGATCGACAGCGCTCATCACCGACTCCGTAGACTCTCGATCTCATCACTGCGCCCACGGAAAACTCTCAAGGACTCGCTGAAGCCTTTGAGGAGTATGGTTGCGGTACAGGTAGGTGTCGACTCGACATGTCGGAACGGCGTGACCAATTGTTTTGTCAGCTAAATTTTACTTCCAAAATCTTTGCTGGTCGTCCAAAACGTAGATCTACTGATTTGTGTAGCTGTCAAAGGTGACTCTGCTCCACCTGGTACCCGGGAACTATTACTTGCTGGTGTGTTTCGGATTACGCTCAGCTCGTTTTAGCTGTTTCCGCCTTTCGCAGATCGATCTGCCTCTCCCAAAAACGTGAGGTTACTGGTGCATCGGCTTGCAGGCCCAATCAGGCGATGTGGACCTTTTGTAGGCTGGACCGATTCATTATAGACGGTGCACGGCACTGTCGTTTCTTTCTCCTGGACTATTACACTGTAGATCTACTATGAAAAAATAATAAGTTGAGTTGTGGTGTTGTGTGGCTGCGAGTGGAAACTAAAAACTGGAGCACTTGAAAACTTCAACTACCACGAGGAAAAACAAAGACCACGATGGCAGGTTCAACGGAGTTGCGCAGAACAAGAGCAAATGCACGAAAATATTTGTGAGTGAAAAATACGTTTTCTGCACTCTTTCGCTACTCTCAGCCGTGAAAAAACAAAACTTTAACCGATACAACAAGTCAAGAATAGTATAAGTGAGGCAGAGGTTACGAAACAAAAAAAAAAGAATAATAATTATAATGAATCTAAATGCAAAATTTCCTAATCATTTCTCATGGCACACTCATCAGGGAAAGCTATTATCTCCTCGTCGCTTATTTAAAGTTGAATGTGCTCAATACACCATGTGTGCTCCTTGTATGCTACTGCTAGTTTACTTGTGTGCAAATGTCTACTTCACACTATCTTGCAACACAATTTGATCTATGGGCTTGCTCAGGTCTCAAAGAGAACTTCTATTTGCATCGGATTCTATACGAAAAAAGAATAATTTTCTCTGTGCATAAAGAACACATGACTGGTTGGGTATGTGTGTTATGCTAACCTTTAGGATTTTATACCCATTCCTATAATCGAATATTTCTGCACAGAGACATGGCTAGTTTTTAATTTCACTTATTCTACTGTTCAATCAGACTGGGCAGAGAGCGTTCCTTCGAGCAGCCAGACACACTCTGATCAAGCCAGTCAGTCCACTGCTGCTCGCCAAGATGATGCTGGTAAAGTTGAATGTTCTCAATACACTATGTGTGCTCCCTGTATGCTAGTGTTAGTTTACTTGTGTGCAAATGTCTACTTCACACTATCTTGCAACACAACTTGAGCCTCTAGATCGGAAAAGAGGGTTTTTCTATTTTTGTATTGTATTGTATTGATTTATTTGAATTGGGTATCTCAACACTACAATAAGTACAACTTGCGAACATCCACGCTCATGTCGTTTCACGCAGTACTGAGAAAAATGCATTTTAAAGTTGTGTGCGTTTCCGCATAAAGTGATGTACATGTATAACTCACTTTTTGAAACATCTATAACTCTGTGAAACATAACAATTTTAGACCTAGGTGTTTTTACAAAGTGATCTGCTGGGATACAGCAATGCCAGGGTATAGATCACTCAAAATGCTCAAGAATGACATAAGCCGCTTTTTTGCATCTAGAGGCTCATTTGATCTACTTCGAAGAAGTATGAGCTTCTCAGGTCTCAAAGAGAACTTCAGTTTGCAGGAGATTCTGTACGAAAAAAAAGAGTCATTGTCTCTGTGGATAGTGAATACATGACTGGTTGGGAATGTGTGTTATGCTTAACTTTTATGAAATGAGTTCATAATTTATACCCATTCCTATAATCAAATTTGTCTGCACAGAGACATTGATAGTTTTTATATTCTGTTTTCTGTTCTTTCCTGTTGAATGTATCAGGCCACGAGCATCACGCTGCTGATGGAAGTTGTTGTACTTTCCTATCCACTTCACCACTGTAAGTTCTACTCATGCATTGCTCTACAATGAAGTATAGAACAGTTGAATCAGTCCTTGGTAAAGTTCAGTGAAATGTACTGCACCATTTCGAACATAATGAGTCAGGCCGGCCCAGTGAGTGAGTTCTCTGACCATGATTGTGCAATGACAGGTATATGTATCATGATGAAGTCCAGACTTGAAGAGGATTGCTTCAACTGTGCTGTACACCACAGTGAGTTGGGAACACGAGTTGTGGAAAACAGGGCAACACTGACGCAGAAAATGGGTTTTCACCTTTGCCCATAAACTGTAATTGGTGAATCTGAGTTTTCCTCTCCATCCGTAAAGAAGCGGCATCTGACGCCTTTTCATGTTGTCTTTTCATGTTGTCATCTTTCAGACTGAAAGTTTTGTCAGAAATTTCTGACTTTCGAAGGTTCAGCCGAAGCATGGAACGGTGCATCAGCCGCCTTAAGCGTGGTAAGTATGTTGCTGCCTATCTATGTAGAATCGAAGACAAAACACGCACCATATTTTCCGGAGTATAATCCGCATCCAGATATTTGTGTCACTAAATACATTACATTGTTTGTTGTTATTTTTGTTGTTCCTACTTGCTAAGTTCCTATCACCTCTTTACTGTACCAAATAAAGACTTGGAACCGGACTATATACATTATAACGTAACTTGTAGTCCCTGTGCTTAGACTTGCTGTGGTGTGAGGCCATGAATTGGGAACGTGAATAGGCTACCGACATGTCTCTGAGAAATGCTGTATTTCTTTCTCTTCCCTCCTTGTTCTCCTGTGTGTCCAGAGGACTTTGCCCAAGCCGTTGCAATACTGATTGACCCAGAATACAGCAACGATTTCAAAGACGACATGCAAGACTTTATCGTGAGAAACGACCTTGGCACCACTAACATACCGGATAATATGCAAGGTGTTATCAGGTGGGCCGTGGACCAAGCTGCAACGCGTGAAATCACCCTGGCCGAGTTGAAGAAGATTGCGCTAGACCTGAATCCCGAAAAGAAGAAAAGGATTGAGACAACATTCCAGTGAGTTAACCAAGAATGACTCATATCATTGTTATACGGTATTTTGGTGACATGGTCCGGGTCGGGGCCAGGGAGAAGGGATAGGGTGATGGGGGGGGGGGGGGGTGTCACCGGTGGTCAAGTTTGTTTGAGAAAGTGATGAACGGTCTGTGCTGGGATCCTGCCTGCACCTTAGCTTGTCGTCTCAGCATTGAACCGCCTTTTTGTTATAGCCAGGTCAAAATAGTAGAGAGGAGGAGGGGGAGGGGGGAGGGGGGGGGGGGGCAGGGAAAACAGTTACCCCGTAACCGATTTTCCCATTTTCCAAATAACTGTCTTGCAACGCGAAATGTAACGTACGAATCGAACGCTTGACTTCACCCCAGACAGATGTGCCTTTATGAACCCTGTACAAATGTAGTACTGACAATCGGCTGCATTTTCATTGAATGGCATGAAGAAACACAAAAATCGGATAATGAGGACGGGCAGCACTTTTTCACTGAAGCGTGAGCAAACAGAGTAGGCGGGGAGGGGGGGGGGGGGCTGTGTCCCCCTACCCCTCCCCCCTTTCACTACAACCCTGCGCTTCCGTAGGACCCCAACACCCATGATCAGCGGTCAGCAGGGGGGAGGATAGATGAGAGCCACCAGAGGTCAAAGCCAAAATCCCATTTGCCACAACCATGTTTTCTCAAGCCAGACCACAAGTTTCCAATTCACAGTGAGTCGCACCACGGCTGGGAAAAACTCTTCTGCTTCCAAGGATTACTTGAACTGGCAAAATTATAGATTTCGAATAGAGGGCGGGAACCTAATTTGGAGATGAAACCGTTTTCCCTTCTAAAATCCCCCCCCCTCCCCCTCTGTCTCTGCCTGTCTTTTTATTGCAGAATACCATATCTGTGGGCCGGCTGGTGTGTCTGCGTGTCAATCTCTTACCCTTTCTGCTCTCTCCCCCCCCCCTCTCTCTCTCTCTTTCTCTCTCTCTCTCTTGTTATTTGTCCTTGGTACAGTGTTGAAACATGGTGAGGCGTCATCTTGAAGCTGCCCTGCCCAGCGGTGGCCTCTATTTGTTCCTGGCTTGACTGTCAACTGTCTACATTCTACTGGTAGTGAGTCGCTCGACAGCAGAACACCTCAAGCATCTGAAGACCATCTTCCATCACTTGGCAGAGTATGGTCTGGTGGTCATTGCAAGCAAGTGTGTCTTCATGCAGCCCTCCGTGACATTCCTGGGTCACAATGTCAAAGCCACTGCCGGCGGTGGCATTGAGACACTGGCAGAGAAGGTCAAGGCCATGGTGGACTACCCTGCTCCAGACACTCACTCTGCTCTCTACCTCGCTTTCTGGGTTTAGTCAATCTCTACCGACGCTTCATCCCGGATTGTGCATGCATTCTTGAGCCGCTCTCGGATTTGTTAGCAGGCCCTCAATCTCCCACAAACCTTTGTCGCGAACGTAGCAATAAAATACATAAAAATAAATTCGGAATAACTCATTTCTATTTTGAATTACATGACGATGATTAACATTAGTGTTTTCGTATATACCATGACAATGATTGTGCTCTCTTACTCTCTCTCTTACATTGTGGCTGATTCCACGCTTGGGTTAGCAGAATTCTGGTTCCCTATCTTCATTTCTAAGGATTGACTCCATTCCACTTCAAAGTAGCTTCGGAGGTAGTCTTCGTTTCTCTAGTCTTTGCATTTCGTTCTCAAACAAATTCTTCGTTATGTTTTCGTGCCGTGAGTAGTCTCGGGCTCTTGATTTGTTTTGCTCGCGCGTGACTTTCCTTTCTGTTTTTTTGTTTGTTTGTTATGCATGACCCTGATGACGCATTGGTATGATGTGTATGTGGACGTGATCACTTGCCTACGTGACTACGTGTTCACTAACTACAGCCAATACTAGGCTAGTGCACTTTAGCTGTAAGCTAGTGCACTTTAGCTGTAGGCTAGTGCACTTTAGCGATTCGCTCTCCTTACTGCTACTTCTTCTGCATTTCTATTTTGTCACTTCACTAGTTCCTTTTTCCACCATTCCACGTCAATGAAAGTTGTGGTCGCCATTTTAAGGCATGATCTTTGTGCACAGATGCCTGTAGATGCAGCTGCCCTGTTTCCGTTCCATTTGGATCTTTATTGAGAAAGAAACTTTCCTAATCATAAAATAATGAAGAAACGTTGTTTGTAAATTTGTTCCTTGGCTCACCGTCTGAGTTCTTAAAGCTATTATTCATTTTCTGCTGCCCCCTGTTATTTCTTTTATTAGTATTATTACTTTCTTTGCACTCGCTTTCTTGTTATTGGGCAACTTGCCCGTTAGAATCTGCTGCGTAAAATAAACAACAACAACAACAAATTAATAGATAGGTTCCGGGTATGATTTTCCGTGCCAAACTCCGTATGGACGCTACGGATATTTTCCAGGCGTACTTCAGACGATCGGCACGGAGAATCCATGTGGACTGGCTTTCATACGAACCATGGTACCATGTATCGTATGGAGATTTTGCGTCATCGAATGCAGAAAGATTTTTGTGTACAAATTGGGCGCGAGAAACATCGATTTTCCGCGAGAAGTTTTGATTTCGGTACAAATTTTCAAATTAAAATGCAAAGAGTGGGGATATGACGTGTTTGCTATCGTAACCTAGGCAATGCCGGCAAACACATAAGTTCCGTACTGCGGTGCATTTTACTGCTCGAAAACGACTTATAAAAAGTCCGTAGCGCCTCTACGAATTTTGACACGAAAAATCGTACTCTGGAACCTCTCTAATTTAGTTCATGTCCGTTGGTTGGAGATGCAATGATGTTGCGAGTCACGACATGAAAATTTAGTGCCAAAACCCCATTGCCTCGACGGAACGAGGAGCGTCTGGGTCAGTCAATGAAGAGTCAGACGCCAATAGTGATACTGGTAAGTTGAAAATGGATACGGTCACCCTACCGGTGCAACTGATTTCCGTGAGCTGCTCGCTTCTCGCTCCACATATACTGGCACATACACATAGACAGCAATGGCGACAACACACAAAATAATTAATTAAAGGTAGTTGGCCGCAGCCAGCTGTAAACCGGATAACGAGTGAGGTATGGAAGCAAGGACTGAGAACAGTGTGTCTCACATAGAATAGGGGTGTCAGTGGATAGCAGAAATAGGCCATGGTCCAGAACCACTTGGGACCGTCAGATTAATTTTCCTGGACCGAGCCAGCTTGGAAAAAACCTCTCCCAGACGGTCGCATTTGTGAGGGAAAAAACGGGTGTATATCCCCAATGGCGATTAGGCATAATGTAGGCATGGCAAGCACATCACGGCAAAAAGTGATAAAAAAGCCAGCAATGATAATATGCACAGAAATGAAGGGTGGGAGGGCAGGGACACTGGTGAGACTCAAAACTGCTGAAGAAGTCAGGAAAAGAAGCGACAATAAAGAACACACCAGATGCCATATTTGCAGCTGGAAATGTTTCGCGAGAAAACATTTCTCGCCTATCTCGCTGCCCTCGGCAGGCGAGAAATACAACTTCAATGCATATTGCGAAATCTGCAACATGAGCAGCACGATGCGGACCGGTTTATTGCCTGGCACATGCCCCCGAATGAGGTACAAGACTTCCTGGTAAGCTTCGAGTGCATTGTCGAACGATTAGAAATCAAAGGACAAAAATGTTACGAGTTATGACAAACTGTCCCCCAACGTAACTAGATCTTATACAGTCAGCAAGTGCGACAAAATGGCACAAAACTGACAAAGGAGTACTGAGACATTGGGCGACCTGACACCTAGCTCCAACACTTCTCCAAGGTGCAAACTAACAACCTACTGACTGTATAAGATCTGGTTACGTTGGTGGACAGTTTGTCATGACTCGTGTAACATTTTTGTCCTTTACCTTTCTTTATCCTTACTATATTGGCTCACAAACCGAGTTCAAATTTGCACACCTGATGAGCCGTCATGACCTATACGGCGAAACGTATGTCGTGTGGAACTACTTGTTATTGTACATAACTAGTCCATCATACATGATATTGGAGTTAAGTAGGATGTTGGCGTTTCGGTTTGTCATAATTCGTCTTCGCTTAGCTTCCCCTTCTATGTTTATTACATAAACCTGAGCCTCCCAAGTTGTGTGGTATGTTGCTTTGCGTCGTCGAGTTGTAGTAAGGCCGGTCTGCTCAATAGACTTACTAGTTTCGTCATCATTCAGTAACTTTCGCCATTCTTTGTTGCCATGACGCGTAGCTCATGCTCTTCTTCGTTGCGCTTTCCTTCCCCTCTTGGACCTTTCCGAACCTGAGCCTTCCAAGTTGGAAGGGTTTTAGTTTGCACCTTGGAGAAGTGTTGGAGCTAGGAGTCAGGTCGCCGAATGTCTCAGTACTCCTTGTCAGTTTTGTGCCATTTTGTCGCACTTGCTGACTGTATAAGATCTAGTTACGTTGGTGGAAAGTTTGTCATAACTCGTAACATTTTTGTCCTTTTTACCTTTCTTTATCCTAACTATATTGGCTCACCAACCAACTTCCGATTAGAAATCAATACAGGGTTCATCACTTCAAACTCTCCAACTACGGTCTCCACGCTGCATAAGTTCACTTCACTTCCAAAAATAATAATATTACTGTAGTAGATATAAATGGAAATAATAAATAATATTAGATATAAATGGAAATAATAAATAATATTAGATATAAATGGAATGCACCAAATTTCGGGCATGGCCCATCTTCAGGGTGAAAAACCATTCAACTAAAGCCAACAAAAACTGAAACAAGTAGATATGCTGTGTGGTGCGGTAGTGCTGGAAATGTTTGTATGTATGGAGGGTAGCAGCAATGGCGAAAGCTGTCGGGCGAAAGGAAGGGAAAGCACGAGAAGTGCGGTTACCAGCAGCAATGGTGGAGTGTGTTGGTAGAAAGGGAAGGAGCGAAGGAGACAAGTGGAAATCTGTGTCTGTAAGTGTGAATATGTGTTAGTCCGACATGGAGATTAGAATGCAAAGTATGCAATGTAGCTGGATCCATGGGTGTGAAGACAAAGATGACGACAAATATTTGCTAAGCACTATAATAATCAGCTAGCACACATAAACATCAAAATCTTATCGTGCAACATCACAGTCTACCACAATTTACAACACCAACATCTAACACAATAATTTCACACTGTGTCCAGCAGTTTCCAGCCACGATCCCCGTTAACACTTGGACGTCTATCACGAGTGAACATTGCTTCACGTATTCGACGATTCACAAGGGACGGCTGTTTGGCGAGAATTAATGCGTTGGTGATGGGTGTAGATGTGATTGCTTGTTGTGGGTGGTGTTTTGCATAGTGTTCTCCCCATGGCGTCTCCAGCGCTTGCGCTTTGGCCTTTCTGCAATGTTCTTCAAAAAAAGGTTTTTGTGGCTTTAGTTGAAAGGTTTTTCACCCTGAAGATGGGCCATGCCCGAAAATTGGTCCATTCCATTTATATCTAATATTATTATTTTTGGAAGTGAAGTGAACTTATGTTGCGAAGAGACCGTAGTTGGAGAGTTTGAAGGGAGGTACCCTGTAATGTGTGAGTGGCTGAAATGGAGTCTGCGAGTGCTTAGAAAAATTAGAAATCAAATTGGATCAATTTTCAACATGGTGTTGCTCAATTGCCCGCACTCACAAAGAGGCACCATGCCCAAGTGGAATCACTTACACTTGAGATCAATGCAATGACATTCTTAGTAGAATCAGTGGTCTGTAGAATACGAAAATTAAAACAAGTGGCAGTCAGACACAAGAAGCAAATGGCAATGGCTAAATCCCCATTGCCAGCGGAGGATCCGGATGGCATTCTTTGTCAATCTGCAACACAAAACTACACAATATTTATCGGATGCCAACCACACACTTACCACAAATACTCCTGGGCGTTCCGACACACGACCCAAGGCGCATCACGAACGGTTACCAAACTCATCTGTACTTCAGTTTGCTGAAGACGTTAACATGTATGCAGCTGGTGACACTATTGAAGAAGTCGTGGACAAATTGAACGGTGATTTTATGAAGTTATCGGATTATCTGAAAGGAAAGCGAATGAAATTAAATTCTGCTCCACCGCAAGACCACCGATGTCCCGATGTCTGCCTCTGTCACCGTTGATAGTGTCCATGTTCCCCGCACGCAGTGTGCTCGATATTTTGGTATTGTACTTGACAAAACCTTGACTTTAGGCCCACAAATAGACAACCTTGTAGGTTCTGTCACCGGACAACGTGGTGCCCACCGCTTATCCCGCAATCTTCTGCCATACCATACTCGGCGTACCTTCTATTTAAGTGTCATTCATTCAACCTTGGAGTATGCAAGCATCGCTTATATCCACGCTCTTTGTTCAGTCAACCTTTGAGTATGCAAGCAAGGCTTATATCCATTCTCTTTGTTCTACTTCGAACTATGATAAGTATGTCCGTTTGTTCAATAGATCCCTCAGAATAGTATTGGGTTTTGATACGTTCACCAGTGATTCTCACATTCTTAGCCTTTACAACCTTTATCATAATTTTCGGTGCGTCAATTTGAAACTGTTTATTCTTTTGTTCCGGTGGATCCATAGCGGAACCTGCAGTTCTTCGCTTCAAGCAATCTTTACCAGCCGCTGCTATTGCTCTCACACCACTAGGGTCCAGCGGATAATGGCGGCATTATATTCGGCATTATACGACTATTCGAGCATCAGAGCAGTATGGAGCATTAGAAAGGAACAAAACGAGAATTATATGAGGTTTGAGCGGCATAACGAGTTTCATAGTGGATAATATCGGGAAATCCCAGGTTTTTGGCAACAATCGGCTACGATCATTATCATGAGATGTTGTCTGATGATGATTGTTTTTTGCCATGAAACTCTGAGTAACAACGAAACAGCCCTATTTTACTCCTTTTGTGTCCTTCTTGCGTACTACGCTACGCCCATTCCGGGCATTTGAGCACTATGCATTGTACAGGCGCATGATTTTGTGATTGTGTAGACACGTAATACTTTTAGCACTAACGCTACATAACTATCGCTACATAAAAACGTTATGATTATAGCGATGTGGTCAGGTAAATGTATACAAGCCAGTTAATTAATAAAACTTTTTTTGTTCAGTGACGTGTGGTAAAGCTTTTTTAGCTCTGGAAAATCTCGTGGTTGGGCATTTTAGC